GGGGGGGGGGGGGTGTTGGATCTGGCTCCAGCCCTGTCCAGAGCAGGCTGAGATCATAGTATACATTACCATGCGACTGCTTGGAACATGTTCTAACTTTTAATACAACACGGTAATGCTTACTACATTCTGAATCAAATGCATGCTAAGTGTCCTGTCCAACAAGGCCCTGGCATGAGGTAGAATCCCATGGAAGATGAGAGAGTTTGTAGCTGGTATTTGTCATACTATTAACAGACAGAGGTAAAAGCCTATGTTGTAGAAATGAGGGTGTTTTGGTTTGTTAACCAAACCAAAAAATACTAATATAAACCCAACATGAATATTTCTCATATTGAAATAAAAAATGACCAGGTCAGTTTTTGATAAAAGCCTTTTGTTCAATGGTTCCATTTCAGGCCAGTTTGACAAAAGGCAAAGCAGTGAAGAGTTGGACTTAGTCAGCATGCAGGACATTAGATCCCTTTGTATCTCAATGGTTAGGTCAGGGTGTGGGAGACTTTCTGCTGCATAGGAGTCTTGAACCCATAATCCTAAGGTAGTGCCCTGTTGTCATGTTGTAGGGCAGAGGGTGGCAACCTACAGCCTGCAGAGCAGACCTGGCCCATGGAGCCATTTAATCTGGCCCGCAGATGTGGCGTTGAAGCTGTATTCAGTGGCGGTAGGCTTCAACAGCATTTGCTCTTGTCATGCCACAGCTGGGGAAAGATGGCAGGTATGGGCTGTCTTCTCATGCTGCCACAGAGTGAAGGAGCAATGTGGTGGTGGCCAGATCCTAACACCTCTGACCCAAGCTGAGTCATTCCGGCCCACAACCTGAAAACAACCACCCCTGAGGCAAGGTATTTGGGGGAAGATGGCTCTTTCCTCCATTAAAGTTGTTCCACTTGAATATTCACTGGAGCAAGATCTGAAACCCGGATGTCCTAGATGAGAGCCATAAATGCCAAACTTCATAGGGGTTGGGTATGATGGTCCAGGAGATATGCAAGAGGTAAGAATTATTGTGAATGTTATGTTTTATTGGACCAACTGCATAGTTGGTTTAGACTGAGGCAAGCTTGTGAACATGATGCAGGTTACCTAAAGAAGAATACATTGATTTGAATCATCTCAGTCTATGCCAAGCATGCTGTTGGTCCTATTAAAAAAAAAATCCAGGCTTTGTAGGATAATTTTTTCTCTTTGGCCCAATATGCATTATTTAATGCAAAGTAGAATTGTTCCAGCAAGGAAAACTAAGTGACTCTCCAAAATGAGAAATCGCCTATAACCTGGTGACTAAGCATTTTCCCGAGAGGTGGGAGACCTGGGTTCCAGTCTCTGTGGGCAGGTTCCTGGTTTAGCATCTTAACCACTAGACTATTAGATATGGGGTTAAGAGTTCCTTTGTCTTATAAAATGAAGCCAGGAAGGATTTTTAGCTGATACCATTGGTGAATTTGTGTTTAGTTTTGGGTAGACCAGAATGACTTTTGATAAATAAACTATTTGCTGAGAGGTGGAGGAAAAAATCGCTCTGTCCTAATAAAGACTGTGTAGGAGTTGTCTCAGTCCACTCATTCCTGTGGAACTGCAACCTTCCTGCCCGGGCCTCAGTGTCCTCCTATACAGAGAGTGGAAGGAAATGGTGCAGGTTCTCCAGTTGAATGACATTTGTTCCCTGCATGTTAAAGTGGTTCTTACGTGAAGTGTGGCGTGTATTCATATATCTCTACCATATGGAATTCATGACCATGTGGTCTGAAATCAAGGCTTTTTTGGCATGAGTTTGTGGTGATTGCATTATTTCCAAGTGGTAAGCTCTGAATAATTACTTTGGGTCTTCCAAAGTGAACAAGAACGTCTCCCAAGCTGAAGAGCGTGATAAATTAGGCCCTGACTAAGGATTTGAGAATCCAGCTTGTTATTGCACAGTAGAATCTGTTTGCTGGGTTGAATACATGAGAGCTTTGCTTGGGTAAGGATGCAGGATTTAGCTCAATTTATGGAGTAAAATGTCATTTGTCAGCTGTCTGGTTGGTCTAATAGAAGGTATCGCCTCTAGCATGCCGACTGCATGTCACATATTGTGCCCTCGAATGAACATCTGAAAGGGCTGCAGTGCAAACAATAATTTTGATTACAATGGATGGGCTGGGGAGAAGGGTGAGGAAGATAATTTACTGAAAATGATCCATGTGTGCATTTATAGAAAAGCACATAATTTCACACTCACCACTTCTGTTCTCTACATAAATTGAATACATGCTACTCTAGTACCAAGTGTGCTACAATAGGATGATCACTTACCATATAGCCACACAGATTTCATATGGATTCTCACAGTAGGAGTTCAAATTGCAGTTGCTGTAGCATACCTTGTCTTCACACACTGGGATTGTGTAGTCACACCACTTACACAAGTTGGTCTTCAGATTCCTTCGTGTCCAGGCATAACATGCTGGAGGAGAAAAAGAAAAAGAATTGAAGCGAAGCCATGTAAACTTTTAAGTGGATGATGGATTTTCTGTGTCAGTCTTGTCTTAGGTCTTAGTTTGCCTAGGAACAATAATGGACCCAGCATTGTCTGTGATTTGCAGAACCCGCAGTCTACTGGAGGGGTCTGAGTGGGCTCAGTTGTTTGTAAGTGCATTTATTTATCATTTCTACCTATGGGGACTTTTTTACCATCTTGTACCATCTACACTTTTCCCAGAGCCTGACAAAGGGACTTTGATCCCAAAAGCTTGCAGAAAAGGACAATTTTCTTGCCATTTTCCAGTTGGTCTAATAAAAGGTATCATTTTGGAACCAAGACTTGTAGTTTTTTGTATGTCTTTATTTATCCTTTTCACTTGCTGAACTCTTCTGTCAAATGCGTTTTGGATTATGCCACAGTTCACAGAGAGCAGATGTAGCTATGTAAGCACCAAGGAAGCAAGAGAGGTCATTTCACAGCTTGAAAATTCACAAAGACCTATTTTTGTCTCCTTTAAATTTCCCATACTGCTCACTGTCAGAAAGGAAACGTTTCCTTTTTTCATTGGACTTAACCTTCATATGTCTGAATACATGAAGAGTCCTTAAGAAGTAAAATATTGGGTCAGTCTCTGCAAATGCTTCTCTCTACTGGTCTTCTGAGAAAAAGGGGACAATTTCACTAGTCTGAGGCTCAGCCCCTTTTCCTTTGTATACTGTATTCTGATTATAAGTCTCTCTTTTCCTCTTTGACTTGTATGCCAGGCCCCTACTGTTTTCACTCTTGCATTGACTAGAAGTGTTTTTGTGCATCCAATAATGATATCAAATTGGAATATTTTTCAGTGCAGTTTTTATTTTTGCTTTTTTTTTAGTGCATTTAACCCTCTGGATCCTACCCTTTGTTATTTGATTCTCTGCTTCGGAGAAGGCAATAGCTAGTCAAGGTCTTTTACATATAGTGATCAACTTTTATGTTCAGGGAAAATGCTGCTTGTCCTAAAATTGAAACTGAACACGCTGGGAGTTGACTTGTGTGTAGGATTGACTTCCAGTGAGAACGTGATATTCAGCGAGTTTGTCCAGCTTGTGAAATGTCAGCCTGAGCTCTGCTCTTATGGGGCTCTCCACTGAATCAGGCATTAAACTGGACACGAAGAGACCTGGATTCAATTCCTGGCCGTCACAGATACGGTGTTAGATTATAAGTTATGGGTATGGTTATACATATTATTACTAGAGTAGTCAGTAGCAGTCTAACCAGAGTAGCACAGTGTAGCGTGGGCTTGAAAACTCAACCGAGAAGCAGAGTAAATTAATTTGTGTTCTTACGGCTGGTCCACTACCAACACCCAAGATGGCTAGTTTAAAGCTTTTTTATGTATCCCTGCGCACACAAGGGATGTAGAGAGGTTTCTTTAGTTAGGACCTATTCCACCCCTCCTGTGGAAATGGTTTCATTTTGGGACAATTAAAGAGCCATTGGCTCAGAGAACAAGTGAATGAGTAAACATGACTAATTGTCCTGGAACAGATACAACAAGACACAAAGATGCAGTAATCAGAGGGGTTGTCTCTACTGCCTCAGTGCTGAATCTGGGAGTGCAGCCAACTAGCCTGGCTTGCCTATTCCTCCCTGTTTCAGGCCCACTGAATCCTGCAAATGAAGCAATATAGCTACTGTCAAGTGTCTCCGAGCACAAGCCAATAAGCAGGCACAAAAACAGTGCATCGTCCCATTTATGAGATCTGACATGTACAGAGGGGGAGTGAGAGCCCGGGGTGCATTTCTCAGAGGCCCCCCTGGGCTCCGCATGGAGGCTGTGAATAGCTGGAGGCCTTGCCTTAATCTATGGACAGGTTTATTAAACACAAGGGCTTGATTTACTGCCATTCCCATATAAACTGCCTCTGGATGTCCATAGAAGTTTTGACCAGGAATCATAGGCAGCCTTTGGGTGGTGCTTTTTATCTTCAAAGCACCGTAGAAAATAAATAAGCGTTACCATCATGTGCTATGGATGGTGAAACTGAGGCATAAAGATCAAGTAACCTCTTCTCCAAAAGAGTGAGTGCCAGAACCAGCATCAGGACTTGGGAACTCCTTAGTTTTTGTCTCATGTTCCTTCCTGGAGCCGTCTGTCTTACTCTAGATATTAGCACCTTCACATTTGGCACTCTCCTGGTGTTTTTGAAGGGAAATGAACATCTCCAACCATACATGCTAGACCAGGGGTGAGCAAAATGCGGCCCACAGGCCACGTGCGGCCTGCCAGTCCATTCTATCCAGCCCACGGGGCCCCTAACAAATTTATAGTATTAATATTTATCTGCCCCTGGCTGCCTGTTATGCGGCCCTCGATGGCTTGCCAAAACTCAGTAAGTGGCCCTCCGCCCAAAATAATTGCCCGCCCTGTTCGCTCATCCATAGAAGAAGAGTAAAAGGACAAATGTGATTCTAAAAGTTACTTCAGTGACAGGTAGGCAGACAGAGAGACAGACACCAATGCAAACTCTTGGTGTTAAATATTTACATTCAGATACTTCAGACTGCTCCACACTGCTGCCCCCCTGGACCTCACCTTCTCAACATGCTCTGTCTGTGCATAAGACTGACTTGGCCAAAGTAGTTTGCAGAATTTAGGCCTCTGATTATTATAATGCATGTTTAACAAGAGAATATTGTCTTGGGGCCTATGGAGAAGCTTGCAATTCAGCAGTTATTTGGTCTCCAAAATGAATAGCTTGATGGAAATATCAACCTCTTTCAAAAGGTTAATGAACTGATGGAAACGAGATCCAAAAGAGTCAAAACTCTTTGGAAAGAGTTTTGTTTTAAAATAGGTTCAACATGTGATTCCATGAGCTGCTCTATAAGGAGTAGGTTATGGAACACGCTTTCTCTTTTAATAAGTAAAAATAAGTGTCAGAAACCCACTAAAAATCTCTTTAGAACTTTGTGTCCTTGAACCGCTAGCTCGTAGGCACAGTTTAACTGCCACATCACTCATCTTTGTCCTAATTAGACCCAGATGAACACTTTCAATATTAATACTCAGATGATTTAATAAAGCTGCACAAGCAGTAAAAGTAACAATACACTTCCATAAAGGGGTTCCAGATGTTGCCAAGGCAAATGCTAAACATCAAAATACAAACTTCAAAAAAAAAAAAAAAAAGCTGGATAAGCAAAACTTGGAACAAACTATAAACTAATTAAATGTGGGCTGAGTTTTCCAACAATAAATTGAAGCCATAAGGACATGATGTGATCCAATAACTAGTACAGTTAGTCAAAAGGACTGTGCAACAACAGTTCAGAAGGGTGGCTTGAAGTCACCAGTAGGTGGGTTGCTTTGGGCTTGGTGCCTGATCAGTAGAAATGTTTGTCCCTCCTGTGTGAGAAGATGGTCAGGTTTTCTGTATCTGTTGCTGTGAATCCAGGGAGGATCTAGGATGAATTGGAGCTGCCTTCTGTGCATCTGAAGGAAGAAATGAACCACAGCAAAGTCTTTGGGTATCCCCTCCTGCACCATAGCCAAGAATCGTTTAGGTGTGCTTTCCAACCATCTTGGTAGCATCCCTCTTTCTGTGCTCTTGAGACCAGGAGGGACCCTGGGCTACCACATATTGTCCCTTGTTTTCTGTATGCCATGTGTCATGTTGTCTTCCTGCTATAGCGATCTAGAACAGCTCTCCCGGCCATTTGCTGCACCAGTTCTGTCCATCTCAATTAACAGCAGACAGATCTCAGCCTCTGCAACATGAGGCTCGATGAGCAATCCTATCATGGTGAAGTGAAGTGTTGAGATACCGCAGTGACAGTCACAGCCTAAGAATCTGAATGGAATAGATAGTACTCACTAGAGAAAGAGTACGTGTCACAGCATATCCCTAAGAGGCCCTGTATGACAAGCTCCATATAGTACAACCTCAATACAATAAACCCCTGCTTTGAACAATCCCAACAGCAGGAACTGTTTGGCATTGGGTTTTTTCCGTTGTTATGTTGCAACAAATTGACTAACCCTATTATAACAAGTATCCATTTTTAATTAATTTTTTTCCTAGCCTCAGAGGGATTCATTATAAGGAGGTTATATTGCATAATGAGATCTGTGTGCTGGATCTTCTGCAGAGCCACATGTTCCATTGTCCTCAAGCACTGAATATCCATAAGCAATTAAGAAGAGTTGCCAGGAGTCCATGGTACATTGCAGACATGCTAGAGAAGCCAAAGACATGTCCCAGCCAAAAAGGTGATGTGAGCTATGCCGTCCATTTTGGGGAGAGGTGGAAGGAGCAGCCTCTCTTCTCCTGCATGCCCTCTCACAAGCCACTCTGCAACCAGCAAACAGCAAAGAAACAGAGAGAGAGATGCCCAGCAGACCTGTCCTTCCCCCCCACCCCCAAAAGCTTCAAAAGCATCTGATCCATGGGCCCAGCTCAAATTCATCTCTATACAAAGTTAAGACTATTTTAACTTTTGAATGTAAAAGTTGCGCTTGAGTTACTTGGACTGTGAAAGGCAGAAGTGCAATGCTTAATATATAAACTCTCGGTACCTTTTGGGTATTTGTGTAATATGAATAATGACATATTTTATAGAGTCATAGATGTTAGGGTCGGAAGGGACCTCAGCAGATCATCGAGTCTGACTCCCTGCCTAGGCAGGAAAGAGTGCTGGGGTCAGACGATCCCAGCCAGATGTCTATCCAAGGACTTCCCTTGTTTGAATCACTATATAATCCTTTGGGAATCTTTGTGCTATTTCTTTGAGGCAGGTCAGTAAGCATATCACATCCACGCATTGCCTATGGCAATGCTGAGGAATGGAGTGGGCAGGTGACTTGATCGAGGCTATGCAGCATATCGGTAGAAAAGTGTGAATTGGAGTTTACAAGCGGTGGCATCTCAACTCCCTGATTGTTCTTTGAGGCCAGGTTACCTCTATAAAAATGGTCATGCAAGCATCATGAGTGA